GAGGCGAGGTTCCGGGGCTGTTTCAGACGAGGTGAACAGAATCCAGGATTTTCAGGTCGAATTTATTGACTCACACCAGTCCTGGAATTAGAGCTGAAAGAAGCCTTAAAAACCATCTGGTCTGGCATGCCATGAAGCCATCCTGAGAACAGCCTGCACTCAATCAGGCTGTTGGAGTCTGCACTGACTCACCGGGACGGGATGCGGCCTGCCGCCCCTGGCTCCGTGCACGGCTCCTCATGGGCAAGCGCGTTTAACAATGCCCGCCTTGTGAAATGGCGAGAGGTAAATGAGTCACACGGAAGCGCCCAGAGGTGTCCGCACACGAGAGAAGGCGTCGGCTTCCAGCAGCTCGTACTTGTGGGCAGAAACCTAAGCGCTCCACCAACTGCACTATGCAAAGCAAAACGCATGAACCTTAAAATACTTGCATGGGGCCAGCAGGTGGCGCACTGGCTATGTCACTGGACTGCCATGTAGTCGACCACGGTTTGAGTCCTGGACCCAGCTGCTTAAAACTCACACCGGGCACATGTGTGTATGTACCCAAAATCCCGAGGGAGAACGGAAAAGGGATTGTAGCTTGGCCACTCCCACGGGGGGTGATTTCTCACTTTCTGTCTCTCTGGTGAGCGCACACCCCCTGTAGCAAAAATCGCTCTAAAAAATAAAAAAAATATGTGTATCAGCAAAATGTTATAGGAAAAGGAGTCTGGTTTGAGCAGAAAGGCTTTGTGGAGAAAATAATATTTGAATAGAGGTTTTCTTTCTTGTTAAATCATCACTTTGGAAGATCAAGGAATTTCCGGCTAAGAAAACCAGCAAGGACCGAAAGATCCGCCATTATCTGCTGGTTGTAGGACTACTGAGGAGGGAAAGGGGCTGGAGTCCGATTCTGGACACCCTCGACTGCCAGGAAAAGGAATGTGAGCCACTGATTCCACAGGGACCCGCCCCCGAAGGTTTCAGCAGGGTGCAGTGTTTGACCAACTTGCATTTTTGGTCTTTATTTTGGTGGTGGTATATGTTAGGTTGTCGGGGAAGTCACGACAGATGTTCCTGTTTTTCTATGCACACATGCGTCACGGCTTTCCTGACATGCAATACAATGGGTCAGGGACAGACACTGGGGTGAAGCAGGCATGACCCCATCTTGGAGGAACACGTCCAAAAGTGGGGACTGAAGCAGGAGCAATTCCATCTTGGAGGAGCGCCTCCATTATAAACTGTTCGATTCCTACGACTGGAAACTTGCCCGCTCCTCTGTGCTGGAAACTTGCCCGCTCCGCTGTGCCTGAGAGTAAACAGAGTAATTAGCATTCCTATTGTCATTAACCCCCACTCCTCCTAACTGCCCTAAAATGCTCCTTAGTGATATAATCGTCAGCCAGACCCTTGCCCTGAGCCATGAAGACCATAAAAATTCTATTGTGTTTAGGCAGAGACGGAACCTACCCTGCAGGAGGATTAACCTGCTTTTCTGGCTTCTGCCTTCACATTGATAAAACCCTACCCCTACCCTTCTCCCCATCTGAGCCCACTACACCTTACCCTCTGAGTCCTAGCGTCATCCCGGACACGATTGTGCATTTTTGGCCTATATGAGCTCCGTTCCCTTTTCACTTGGGGCTGCGGGGTTTTGAGAGACATGAGTCCCCCCATATGCCGCCAGCTTAATCAATAAACTCCAATAAATGTGGCTATGTCTGGATGTCCTCGTTTCTTGCTGAGTAGACTGTAATAGGGCAGTTCTAAGAGGCCGAGGCCGCGATGTGAAATAGAAGACAGGGGGTACAGGGCAGAAGAGGGGGAAGCAGGAGGTGAGGACTGGTCCGGAGGTGCCTGAGCTCAGGAAGGGGCAGGGCAGTTCGAGGTGTCTTACGCTGCTGCCCTGGCCAGCTAGGTCAGGGGTGCCAGCTAAGACCGGGAGCGCCGTCTGGGCACCTGGAGAGGCGGGAGGTGCTGGGCAGGCGGCCGAAGACTGCTCTAAGGGGAGCCAGGCTCACAGGTGAAGCTTTGTCCCTGTGTGGGTGGGAGCGCACGCACAAACAGGACTGGGCAATCGTAGGCAGAAAGCAGGTTGAGAAGTGAGCAGAGAACCCACAGGTACGAGAAGCAATGGAAGGAGGGGCAGTGAGTGAGTGCGGGACAGGAAGCAGGAAGGCTCTTCTGCTGACCTCGCTGCGCAGCGTGGGCAGATGGTACCTCCGTACAGGTTACGTCCAGAGCCCAGACTGTGCTGTTGGCCGGGCGGAAACTGTGTCCACACTGTGCCCGCAGTCACTTAGGGCCACACATGACGACCAGGCACTGAAATGTGACACCCGAGGAGCTGAATTTTCCACTGACACCCAAGCCCCTGGACTTTTTTGTTGTTGAGATTTTTGGTATGGGGTGCATGCACTTGCGAGAGACAGAAAGCAAGAATCAGCCCCCAATTAATAGTAACAGTCCCTTCTCCATCCTCTTCTTGGGATCTTGGGCATGCACACACGCGCTCAGCATGAACTGCAAGCCTCCAGGTCCAGGACTCTAACTGCTGCCGACCACGTGGGGAGCCCAGCGACATAACCATTAGCCACTTGCTGGTCCCAAGCCCCTGGATTTTTTAGTAGTTTAAAAATCAGGGGTGGCGATGTGATCACCACTGACGGTCAGAATACTTTTTCTTTTGTACTTTTATT